AGAGAATCTATTTCTTGTCTCTCCCCCGGCTTCTGGTAGTTTCCTATTATAGTAATCTTCAGCACTGCTTGACTTGTAGAAGCCTTACCCTTCTCTCTGACTTCATTTTCACGTGACAGTCTCCCTATGTGCGTGTCTTTATATCCAAATTTCTCCTTTTTATGAGAACACCAGTCATATTAGGTTAATGCCCACCTTAATAACCTCATCTTAATTTAACAAATTTTCCAAATAAGGTCAGATACCGAGCTACTGGTACAGAAACTTCAACATATGAATGTTGAAGGGACACAATTCAACCTGTAACGAATGGGATCTGGGAATTCATGTTTTTTCAAAAGCTCCCTGGTTAATTTGCTGGTGGGCCAGGTTTGGGAATCTTGTGTTTAGGGGTCAGCTTGCCTCTGATAGCACTTTGAAAATCCTTATGTCTTGCAATAAACTGAATTTTTGTGTCCCCCCCCCAAATTCAGATATTAAAGCCTAATCCCCAATGTGACGATATTTGGTGATGGGACCATTGGGAAGTGATTAGGTCATGAGGGTGGAGCTCTCATGAATAGAATTAGTATCTATAAATTCACGCATATTAAAGAGACCCCAGAGAGCTTGCTTGCACCTTCCGCCATGTGGGGTTACAGAGAGAAGATGGCCATCTGTGAACTAGGAGATAGGCCCTCACGAGACACCAAATCTGCTGGCACCATAATGTGAATTTCCCATCTTCTAGAACCAAGCAATAAATATTCGTTGCTTAGTCTATGGTATTTTTGTTATGGCAGGTTAGGACGTGCTTTTTCTTCTAAGGTCGTTTCGGGAAGCTCATAGGACCAATCTGAAAGCAGTCGAGCTCCAAACAGTATATCCACTGGGATGGCTCTTGCCTTTTGCTTCTAGATTAATGCTAGTGGACATTTTGATAGGAGGCTGCTGTTATGCTAGCAAGCATTCCTGATGGTGCTCCAGACTTGTCTTTCCTCCCCTACCCCGCTTTCCCTGCCCATCTGTAGTAATTTCTCCTGTGAAGCTGAAGTACATTCTCAGATAACAGTGCTAGATCAGGAAGCCAGGCATGTTCAAATATCTTAATTTGTGTAGCTTTCATTGATGCCCCTCAGATTTTCTTCACCTTTTTTATTGGTATATACTTTAATTATAATGCAAAAATCTTAAGTGTGTGGCTTGATGAATTTTACATATGTATGTATCCACATAACCACCACCCAGAACAGATATAAAATATTCCCAGCACTGTAGAAGGTTACTAGTGCGTTTTCCCAGTCAATTACGCACCCATCTACCAATAGAAGGAGATTTTTTTCACTCTTAATTAATTTTGTCTGTTCTCAAAATTCATGCACTGCATACTTCTTGTACTTGGCTTCTTTTATTCACTTCACACCTATGAGATCATCTATGATTTTGCACATATTAGAAGGTAATTGGTGCTTGTTATTCCTGCAAAGTATTCAGTCCATTATGTGCATACACCATGGTTTATTTATCCATTCTCCCACTGATGAATAGTTGAGTTTTTCCAGTTTTTGCTATCATGAATAAGACTTCTTCAAACATTCTCACACATTTTGGTGAATATGCACACCTTTTTCTTGGATGTACACCCAAAGGTGTAAATAATAGATCATAGGGTAGACTTACGTTGCTTTGGCAGATGTTGCCAAAACGTTTTCCAAAGTGGTTATAATGATTCATATTCTCAACAACATGTATAAAATTTCCCATTGCTTTACATAAACTTGATAGTGTTAGTCTTTTGCAGCTTAGCCATCCTAATGGGTCTATAGTGATAATTTCCCATGGTTTTATTTGCAAATTCCTGATGAGTAAAGATCTTGAATACGTGTTCATATATTTTTGTTGTTGTAGTTGTTGTTCATTTGTTTGTTTTGCCATTTGTTATTTGCATATCGTCTTTTATGAACTGCCTGCCTGTCCTAGTCTTTTCCTATTTTTAAATGGGTCATTTGTCTTGTCTTACTGATTTGTAGCAATTCCTATTATGTTATATATGAGTTCTTTTTCAAAATCTTCTATTACAAACATCGTATTGTAGCTTGTGGGTTACTTTGCACTCTTTTAATTGTGTCTTTTGAAAAAGATAAATTCTTAATTTCAATGAAGCCTAATTTGTTGATTTTTTTCTTTTATGGTTAGTGCTTTTTGTATCCTGTTCATAAATCTTTTTTTACTTCATGGTCCCTAAGAGTTAAAATATAGTAATATTAAACATAATAGTCTCTCATATCCCTGGAATTTTGATAAGTACAAACTTTGCATCATACTGCATATTTATCAGCTACAGAGATCTTATCAATTTTTATTCATATAAATTCAGTCAGATATCGCAGGTATAATATCATTTGTTACTAAATTGAGTACCTTGTATGTTGCTACGGCTTTTCCTTAAGAAAATGTAAAACCCAATACTTAATCAAAAGTGCTAAAACTTGGGTAAATACATTTTGTTATGTATGTTCAAGTATGTAGTAAATAGTTAAAAACTATTTATTTAAAAAAAACAACGTATGCATGGTTAATGTATTACAAAGATTGTGTCATTCAGCATTTGTTACTATAAGATGTTAGTATATATACACACAGAGCACACAAATATACACAGGGAGACAATTTTCTTATAGAATACTGCTTTAAATCCTTTGTGATTTTTTTTTTTTATTTTGAAAGCTTTCTATCCTGGAAATTTAGGACATAGATAAATGTAAAGAGAATATTATAATGAACCCCCACCTGCCCACCAATCACCTTTTATCATTTCTCAACATTCTTCTAATTTGATTCATACTTTCTTACATGCGTAATTTTTTCTAGAGTATTTCAAAGAAAATTCCAGACATCTTATGATTTTATCTGCAAATACTTTGTGAATCTCTAACATTAAACCTTTTATTGTACCATTACCACTATTATATCCAACAAAATTAACAATGATTTCTTAAACTAATACCTAGTTTGTATTCATATATCTCATATATTGCATAGTTGTCTTCTTGTAGTTGATTTGTACACATCAGAATCCAAATAATTTCTCATATTCTATTCTTGAGATTTTTCAGCCTTTTGATCAGAAATTAATAAATTATAAACTTCTGATTTAGTGAAGTTAATGCACGTGAGCATCCCTGATATATGGAGATACATATAATTTCTCTTTTGTTTCTGTTTCTTTTCTCTCAACTGTAAATAATCATATTAAACATGTATGTGTGCACACACATACACACATCACATTAATAGTTTGAAACACAACTCGCAGTGTCATTATTTTATTATTTTTTAAGTTTTTCTTAGGTCACTAAGTAAAATTTGCATATTTGGCAAGTTTGTTTTCCAAGGTGTTTCAGATGGCTCTTGAGTGCCTTTTAACACTTCTATCAAAATTAGGTCCATATAGAAACAAATAGTATTTGTTTTTCTGAAGCTTAGGAGTTCATGATACCAAATTTTGTATTAAAAATTATATGACATTCAAGCTAATATGGGTTTATAATACTGTAAAAGCATAATCAAAATTGAATGACATCATAAATTACAAAGGTTTTCTTGTCATAGCTTCTTTTATATAATGCAAACTTCACATATTGTACTTTAATTCCAGGTTTTGTAGAAATTAGAATAAAGCTCCAGAACTGTGTCTTTTTGTGTTTATGTGTGATTAGTCATATTTGTGGATATTGTACATAAAAACATAAAACAAAATTCATTCTTATGCCTGTTTTTACTTTATTTAACACCAATTTCCCATTTATTCTGAAACTGATTATTCCAATAGGATCTCTAATATGTATTTTTTAGTTTCATATAGAAGAATAAAAAATATAGACGATATTACTTATGTATTAGTTTTAAAATCTGATTCTCCCATATACATATTTCTTCTAGTCTTCATATTTTATAATATAACCTTTGTGGTATATTAAGCATAAATTAATAGAAGCATAATCATATAGTAAGTCACAGAAAATAAGTAAAAACTTTTGATATGGAATAATTATTTTATGGTGGATTACATATGACAAACAACTTTCACATATTTCTCACATTTCATCTTCCCAGTTCTGATAAGTAGGTAGGCAGGTACTTCATTCTCTATATTACTTTATTCTATTTATTTATTTAGTGGCAGGGTCTCACTCTGTCACCCAACCTAGAGTGCAGTGGCATGATCGTAGCTCACTGCAACCTCAAACTCCTGGGCTCAAGTGATCCTCCTGCCTCAGCCTCCTGAGTAGCTGGAACTACTATAGGTGCACACTACCGTGACCAATTAATTTTTTAAATTTATTGTAGAGATAGGGTCTCGCTATGTTACTCAGATTGGTCTCGAACTCTTGGACTCAAGGGATCTTCCTGCTTTGGCCTCCCAAAGTGCTAGGATTATAGGAGTGAGCCACCACACCTGGTCTGATCTCTGTATTATGTATGAGCATAGGCCTCAAAGATGTTGAGGTTTTCGCTCAAAGCATCATCACTTACCTCTGGACCTGCACCTGCAGTTTATTTATCACTGTGTAGTTGTTATTCCATTAAACCATTATGATTTTCCTTTCAGTAATCTTAAAATTATATTCTGGTCTTCAGTTTTGATTCTTGGCTAATCAGTTGTATTTTTCTGCTTTAGTCATTGGAAGTCTTTCTGAAATGTTTTCAGAACTTACTTTCTTGAACTGAGCTTTTAGCATTATTAATATCAGCTGAGCAAACAAAGTGATTCGCTTTACTTTAAATAATGAGAGAAAATCCAAGCATGCATTTTATTACACAATAAAAGCAGAAAAGGAGCATACAAAGCATCTCCAGAATCTTTTCTGCCATTGAAATGCATCAAATGTGGTTTTTCTTACATATGTAAGTTAATATAAAATGTTAGTGACATTTTAAACAAGAGGAGTGAAACAAGTTAATATACTTAATTCCTAACTGTGCTTAATTTTTGTGGGCATTTTTGTTTTGTTTTCCAGTGGCTTTTCATGGCCTACCACTGAAAATCAAGAAGGAACCCCACAGTCCATGTTCAGAACTCGGCTCTGCCTGCAGTCAAGAACAGCCCTTTAAATTCAGCTATGGAGAAAAGTGCCTGTACAATGTCAGGTAAAGCAACCAGTTGTATGTTTGTAACATGGTGGTTCTTATTGAAACAAAAAATCCAAAATAATATAAAATCTCAAGTCATATTGTGTGAGTTACATTCTTATTATGTAACAAGCTAATTAGGTAATGCATTTAGCAGAACTCTGAAGAACCATTTACCATCCAATCACACACTTTTAGATTCATTTTAAAGCAATAATTTTCATCCAAATCATTATTTGCTTTTCTACTGTAGTGGTGATGCATCTTCGGTTTGAAAAAGGGGTCTTATTTGGCACAAGCAGCTTTTGAAAGTTCCCATTAGAATGAATGCATTATGCACTTTAGATAGAGAGATTGTAGGGGAAAAAAAATGAAACATTTGGCAGGTCTAAGCAGTACATTAGTTATCTGACAGGCTTTGCTGATGATCTATAAGATGAGTTCATGGACGAGTGCAATAAAACTAGAATTTCATAAGGCTTAGCAGAAGCTATTATCTATTAAAAAGCCAGTTGTTCTTCTGATGATAATAAAGGGTGGTGTAGTAAAAGTGCATTGTTCATTTGTTAGAAAATTTGATAACATATATGTTCATTAAAAACCCTTCACAGTAAATTGCATGCTGCTACTTTTCATATTGGTCTTTAATAGTATAAAGAAAAAGTTGGCTGTGTCTATTAAGTATTATTACTCTCAATTATAGTAGAAACTTAGTTCTTTGAAGAAGTTAGTTGGGAAACTTCTAAAAATGATTACAAATATTTGCACTATTTTATGTTATTATCAATTTAGGTGCATAGTACATTATAATCCAAAGGGGTCTTCTATTTCCTCATGTGTTTACTATACACACTGTTTATATCCAAAGTATATAAGATGCAAGAAACTAAGAATTGTGCCATGGTGGCGGCTTGCCAAGACTTGGATATTCTATTACTATTTTTTCTTACAAACTTATCTTTTATATTTGGTCTTCTAAGAGGTTCATCAGAGCCTAAAATCATGAGCCAGCTCAATTAAAACTCCAAAGCTTTTATAGAAAAGATCTCTTATAGAAGCTAACTATTAAAGTATACTGAGTTCAATTAAGACAATATTGATCATCTGAGTTTTACTTTATATTTTAGTTTTATTTTTGCATTTTCTCTTTACAAATACTGTGTATCCACAGCACAATTATTTAACATATTGAGGAATTTGTATCATTGAAACTGAGATACAGAATTGTGATTGCATCTCAGCATTGATCAGAGTCGTGTCTGTGAATCATCACTGTTTTATATAACATATCTGCTATCTATAAATTGACAGTGGAGGGATTGCCTGAATATTTTGAGTTTCTTCTTGGGGATCAATAATTCCCACCCTGATATATGGCATATGCAATAATTCTAGTACTTCCATCCTTGTACAAACAGTATAATTTAGTACAACATTTCATGGTAAGTAAAATAATATCATAGGATAGAAAATGCATCATTTTTCCCTTTATTCATGGAAGTGAGTCAGATGAACCATTTTATAAAGAAGTGGAGTTTTATTCAGAAATATTAGTAAAGAACATAGGTAGAATAAAACCTAAGATTCTTTTTATAAGTACTATTGACTTTGCTTTAAAACAAGAGTAGGCTAATACAGCACATCCTCCTTTACTTCTGTAAATTATTTTTGAATATAGTTCTGTTGTACGATGGTGTAACATAATAAGTTATTACATGTCAATTCAAAAAGAAATATTTCCTTTTAATGAAAAAATGTATATTGATGAATGTTTCTTTTATTTTAAAAGGAAATACAACATTTTAATCTAGAAATGTCCTGTTGTTCAGAAATTTAAATAAAAGTTGGTTTTTGTAAATTATTTTATAAATTACAAAATTAGGTAAATCACATTTCTGAAAACTTCACGTAGGAACGTGATTTAAATTCATAATATAAAATCAACCGTACTCATTTTATTCTTTTGTAATTGTGTTTAGAAGTTAGACTTTAATAGGATTTTATTCTTAATAACATTATTTTGTACTCATTCTTATACTTCAAGAAAGTATAATTTAAATGTATCAGAGACATTTTAATTTACATCATTAATCTTCATTATCCCATGTGAGGAAGTTAATGCCAAGCATCATTTATTTAATATAATAAAATGAAAATAAAACAAAAGCATTGCCTTCTTAAAATTCTACCACAAATAAAAGCAAGCCAGGAATAGTCTCCATGTTATTAAGCTGGTATTAGTTCTTATTATAAAATCTTAGGGAATATAGAAGAATTATAATGTCAGAATTATGTAATGATTTAAGAAAGATGTATCCAACTTTCTCAAAGAGATATATCAAGAACAGATAGAAATCATACCCCACTGCCTTTGTTGATAGTGATTTTCCCTATACTACATTGTTTGAATATATATTATGTATGTTTTATATTTGTGCCATTACAAGATTGTGTATCAATTATCCTATTTTCTGCTTAAGGGTGTGGTGATTTTGAAGTTTACATGTTCTGGAATTAAAAAGAAAACCACAAAGTTTTGACTTCTTTTTGACCTAAAATATTTTTTCTTTCCTTCGATTGGAAACTTTTGACTTTTAGTTGCTCCAAAGAGACAGATGTTCTCTTTTCTTTTGTTCACTTGGTAGTGCCTATGATCAGAAGCCACAGGTGGGAATGAGGCCCTCCAACCCCCCCACACCATCCAGCACTCCAGTGTCTCCGCTACATCATGCATCTCCAAACTCAACTCACACTCCGAAACCTGACCGGGCCTTCCCAGCTCACCTCCCCCCATCGCAGTCCATACCAGACAGCAGCTACCCCATGGACCACAGGTAATCTGCAGATACCGGTTTCACAGAAAATGTTTTTAGCATTCTTGGAAGAAATTCCTATTACCAATTCTGAAGACCTATAGTAGATTTAAGGTGAGCATGTTAATTTTGCACATCTGTGCAAAATATTTTTAGAAAGAGCTGGCTCTGTCTATACTTATAAATTGTAGGGAAGGTCATTTATAAACATTCCTCTTATAAACATTTAAATTGGTTGCTAAAATGGAAAATTAATCTATCTACTGACATTTGAACATTTCCCTTTTGCTTCGCCTGAATTAAATTGCTTCACTTAAACTTTAAATCAGATCATCCCATTTTTATGAGCATATGTGCGTACTTGTTCTATAAAGTTAGGAGACTAATTTTAGTAGGTGGTTTATGGAATTAGGTTCCTTACCTTATATTGAATGGTTTAGCTGTACATGGTTTTGCAGAATAGAACTTACTTGATTAAAACTATTTACCATCCCTTCCAAGTGATGAATATTTAATGTCAGTAGACACATGACCCTGAACACTGTGAATATATAGTTAAAGAGATAGAGACTGAATGAATTTCACTAAGAAAGGAGCAAGACAAGAATCAGAGCATAGAGCTAGGGAGAATGCTGTGGTGGGTAATTCATGATTCCTAGAGATGAAAAAATTCATATTTAACATAAAATATTGGATGATCTTTAGAGGTCCTGAGATACTACCTTAATATACAACTTAAAACACAGGTTGATTATATACAGCATTCCTCCTTCTTCCCTCTACTTTGTACTTCTGTATAACCAGTGGTGTGCTGGCAAATGTTTAACAGATTGTATGGGAAGAAAACAAAAAGGCCGTAGCTGTAGCATTTGCTGAGTCTGTGATATAAATATTGCCCCCATGGCTGACTAAGCGCTATCTCTGTGACACCCCTGAATGTGGAGTTGGAAATAGATATGCAATAGTGCACTAAGGTATAGTATTTCTGTCATTCAGATACAGTAGACATAAATAATCTCAAGTATATAATTAGTAGTGCAATACAGTAAAATAATTAGGAAGTGATGAGTTTTGAGTTTTTATTGCCTTTGTGTTTTTAATATATTTTTGATTTTTAATTTATATCATTTAATTCTTAATAGTGGCTGTATTTAACAATTGCCTCAAAAAATTCCTGTAAATTTAACACTAAGCCAGTAAAAACTGGTTCTGACACACCATGTAAAAATATCTGAGCCAAAGGAATCTTCTAGATCAGCAGAAGAAAGCAGAAGTTGTGCCACTGGCAACTTTCTGAAAATAAGGAAGCACTCAAATCCGCTTTTTATAGGTTTTTTTCATGAGACTCAATCTCAAATTCAGTGACTTATTTTGCTATAAAGGGATAAGATGAAAGCATTCTTCACAATACTAAGCCGTATTATTTCTACCTTTATTTCCATCACTAAGTCCTCTTGTGCTTTAGTTATTAAATGCTTCCTGGTATCTTTTTCTTCTCACCCTGTGGACTTGAGACTTTGTCAGAGTGTAATGGTATGTGCATCTGTGTAAACAGTTTTGTAAATACAGATGAAAGAATTCTTACTGCAGGGTGGGCCATTAAACAGATGCACATTGTGTAGGGCTAAAAGAGAAAAGGAGTGTGAGCAGAAAAACAAGTTTTCGTCTGTCCACTTCTGGTAACTCTCCAGAGTTCTTGATAACTGAGTCTCTCACTCTTCAAGGAGTGCCAGAATTATAGATGGTGTCGTTTCTTCTGTGAGCTGTTTCTTAGGGAAGGTGACTGCTGAATAAGCAGTGTGCCTGTTTTTAGGTGAGCTAACTTGAAATGCTCTAGCCAAATTCATTTTAGTTTCTCTACTTGAAGTCAAATATTTGAGACTGAGAACAGCCGGCCCGGAACTCCAAGAGGGAAGCTCGGGGTCTTTTCCCACTGACCCCCGACTGAGTTTTGAGGACAGTACCAGCTGGCCAGTCCCAGGAAAATCTCTGAAGCCGTATGTTTCTGAGGAGGATTTCTTAGAGGGCTCTGGCCAACAAATGACAGTCCCTCGGTTATAAATGGCAAATTTGCTCTGGGAACAGATCTTTCCCCCAGAATGCCCCCTCCAGCCCAGGCACCCCACTTCACTCTGGGAATGCTTTGCGGCCAACTGGCCCGCACCCTGCTTCCTCTCCTCAGCCTCACTCCGCTCCTCAGGCCAGCCCTTTGGCACTTTTTCCTTAACCCACTGTGCAGGAGCCCTGTCTCTTTTTCTCAGTGTTTCCACCACTGATACCCTGTTTATCTAAGAGTTCATCAGCACGCTGCCTTTACCCTTTAACTCTCTTCCAGAAGCTTCTTGAATCACTTTCTCTTCACTCTTGGTCAGTGGCTCTTAAGACTGGCAGCAAAAGCATGCAGCTTCTTAGGAATCATGTGTGCTTCATACATATACGTGTTCCCCAGCAAGCACCAACTGGAATCAGGTCGACTCGTAAAAACAAATGGCTTGATTCCTTACAAAGCTTTCAGTACAAGTATTATTAACTTCCTTTTAAGGCTTCACAAGGGAGCCAGTTTCTTATTTTAACTTCAAGTTACAATTTTCTGATTCACTCCTTGACAGTTCTTAATGATAATTTCTGTTTCTTTTTTTGGCTAATGAAATAAGCAAGAGAAGGGAAATGAACGCAGTGCCAGTCAGCCTGTTTTGCAATATCCCGGTTCTATGTTTGTTTTCTGCAGGTGTAGGTGGAATTTCAGTGCTTTCCATGACTGCCAGTGAGGCTAGAGTTAAATCACAGGATGAAGTGTTCTTAGAAATGCTAAAGGAATCGCTTTGCCGTTCTTTAGCTTTTACCTTATTTTCATTTAACATTACTGAAATTAAATGCTAACTTTCCAAATTAAAGTCTTAGGAATGCTTTTAGTGGGGGTGGGAGGTGTAATAGGCTTATATTTGCTCATAGAAATGTTTTATAGGTTATTTTTAAGCACTCCTGGGGCATTTTTAGAGCACTTTTAAATCTTTAATTAATCCACATCTTTGTGGTGGGTCAATGATATTATGGATGAGAAATACAGAACAGAATGATTATGTGATTAGCTAATCGTTACACAGTATAACCAAGAACAACAGAGCATAGGACTTCCTTTCAGCCATCTGCTAAGGCCTCAGGACTTCCTCTTGACCCAACAGCTTGACTTGCCCCAAATCTGTGTACCACATACATGTTATTTTCATCTTTCGATGTCAGCCATATATTTGTGCTTATTTTTATCAACCTGATATTTTGTTTGACGCTATTGGAAGCTAGTATGGTTTGTGTTACTGTTTGACAGTAGAAAAGTGTTTTTTTTGTTGTTTTTTTTTTTAAACCGGCTTGCATTTAATACCCTATAATATCCAGCTTTATTCTCACTAAAACACAATGTTAATTAGGACGTTGCTGAGGAATTGAAAGTCTGGCCAATTTGATAAAAGTCCTTTCTCTCTTGTTTCCTAGTAACTTATGGTAATGGAAGGAAAACCAGTAGGTACATTTTGGTTGGGTAGGTTTTTTGTTTGTTTGTTAATTAGTTTGATAACAGAATTAAAAGAGGATGCAGTTTGAGATCAGACTGCTTTCCCTTTCATTCTTTTATATAATTATTTGAGACCCTTTTCATATGAAGGTGTGTAAATTATCCAATTGATTTAGAACTATGCATTTTAGCCATTAGAGTATACATATATTTCCTCCAAATAGTGCATTGCTCTTCTGTCTCTACTCAAAGTACACTTTAATTTATGTACTGAAATGGTGCTGCAAGGGACTGGTTAGAAGAGGAACACAAGTTATATCATTAAAGATCATAGTGCTAATGACCCAAGAAAGAGAAATCTCTAGTGTTCATTAAAGATTTATACTTTGGTTCAGGTGGTAACATGTTCATTCGCAAAACAGTGAAAAATCAAGCCAATATTTTAAAGAATGTTCTATGTTACCATTTCATCTGAAACACACTCTCTTGTTCCCTAGATTTCGCCGCCAGCTTTCTGAACCTTGTAATTCCTTTCCTCCTTTGCCGACGATGCCAAGGGAAGGACGTCCTATGTACCAACGCCAGATGTCTGAGCCAAACATCCCCTTCCCACCACAAGGCTTTAAGCAGGAGTACCACGACCCCGTGTATGAACACAACACCATGGTTGGCGGTGCCACCAGTCAAAGCTTCCCCCCTCCTCTGATGATTAAACAGGAACCCAGAGATTTTGCATATGATTCAGGTAGGCTCATGTTCTGATGGAATTACATCCAAGGCATCTTTTCACCTCCTTTGTCACTTTGGTTAGTGTTGGTATCAGATTGGGTGGCTCTTGGCCAATTTTTTGGTGGGATCTTTCCGATTTTATTCCTTACATGAAACTATCTGTGCATGAAAGGTTGGAATATCAAACTGTTTTGGCATGAGCTGATGGTTTATATAGTGTCCGGAAATAAAACCAATCCAAAGAAAAGTGCACTTTAGAAAATTATGCTTGCTCTTAGTCCAAGGAAGGAGCATTGCAAATTTTTTTCTTGATTCTGTGGGTTTTTTTTTCTATTTTACCATCGCAGTGCTATTTAATAACAATATTTACAGAGAGTAATATTCTTTTGAACTGGATCACTTATTGCTAATAACTCTTTTAAGAAAAATTTATTGGTGCCAAAGATTCCGAGGGTCCATAAATAAGAGCTCTTGCATATTAGAAGAATAGCAAAATATAGATTTATGGTTTATTCATAGAGCCTAGCCTTGAGTCAGTGAACTAGAGAGTAGTACAAAGTAGTATGTCAAAGGGGAGAAAGGGGTTTTCTAAAAGGAAGGGGAGTTTTAAAATTTTTGCCAAATGTGACCATCAACTTTGCCAACATTTGAACCTTGAGTCTTGAGAAGAATTACTTAATCTGTACTGAGTTTTCTCCTGCTATTGTCTGTGAAATCAGGACATCTGCTTTTTACCAATCTCAGATATTTTGGAAAAATGCATGAAATAAAAGCTAATGTTTATAAGAAGGGCACGATGTACCTGCAAAATATTATTACTGACATTATTATAGCTGTGGTCCATAGATAATTGTAGACATGGAAATATTTGAGAACAGCGTCATTTCCTTTTGTCTGGATACAAAGTTATGGTCATCATTTATGAAGGAATAGTTGCTTTCCTAGTAATAACTCTGCTGAGTTTTTATATCCATCTACTTGAATAAAGAAAACTATCTCTAGGTCTTGAGTTTCCGACTCATATAAAATTACCTGCTTTATTATGAATTGCCCTTAAAGCTTGGCAAGAGGGAGCCCTACCACTTACAAGTCTTTCTCTGGTCGTCCTTTGACTGCACCCTTCCTCATTGGGCAAGAAGTCAAAGGACTAAGGGAATTGACCACCTTAGGCATGTTTCAACTTCTAGAAAGGATGCCAGCTTCCCAAGACTCAGGAATTGTCTGCTCCGCTGGCCTTGAGTCCACTTCCATGGCCTGGCCAGGATGCCCCAAGCCCTGTTTTCTGAAGACAGAACACACAGCTCCTGTGTATAGCACTGGATCCATGGGAGTGGCCAAGGGGCAGCACTTTGTGAGGGGATTGGGATGGCCCCCACAGTGTGGCATAATCTTGGGTTCAAGGATAGAAAGAGAGGCAGGAATCGAGGTGGGCTAGGATTTAAAGGTTGGACACTGCCTCTCTCCATACTGTCCTATTCCAGTGCTAATCTTAGAGGTTTCCTCAACTGCTAAGTTTGATCTGATCTGCCAGGTTGTTTGTTTCCATGGTATATTTTCAAAGAAATAGAGGAGAGAGATCACATTTATCAGTTTGTTCGACTGATTTATCATTTAAAAATTTTTAAGATGTGGTATGAGGGCCTTTATGTGGATGATTGCCCCAGGGCCTGTAATTTAGGAACAGTCTTGAAATGTCCCATATTAGTTCCAGTGTAGAACTTTTTATAGCCATCCATTGATGCCCGTAATTAAGAACCTTGCAATATAATGGACTTTATTATAAATAGGATAACTTTCTCTCTGTAAATTCAAATCCTGTTAATTGATATTATCCTTATTTTCCAAACCACATTTTAAGTTGTTGCAGTTTTTTGAATTCATCATATTTCAAAATATGTTGTATGGAAATCATATAAACTAGCCTAAGTAATCATTCCAGTCCTTGTTTAGCCTAGCATTTGAAAGTTTCTTTGTGTGTTCTAGAAGTGTTTTAAATGTATGATAGTAAAAAGAATAACACTGAAATTGATTCTATGATTTATTTCATGCATATCTTCTCCTCATATTTATATTATATATATGGTTATATGTAGCATGATATTAAGGATGCATAACTTTTTTTGAAGATATTTGAACCCAATGGAAAAGATATTTAAAGATTCTAATGAGGATTCTATGAGATTATATAGAAATTGGTGCTGTAAGAGTTAATTGCATTATTTGTGGGCCATATCTAATATGGACTTCAGAGTCAGTCACTGTCTGACTCTCAAAAGTGCAAATTCACTCATAACCTTCAAAAGTAGTCCAACACCCTTTTCTGAAGGTATGGAGAGCATCCCTATTGTAACTGTGTCATACATCTTGTAAATGACTTGTAAAATATTTGTTTAGCATCTTTAAAGCTGTTAATTTTATGTTACTTTCTCTTCTCTAAATTATATTTCAAATTGCCAAAATTGTACCCCACCTTTGAATTCTAATTTTGATGTTGCCAACAGGATACAGTTCTGTTTTGCATGAACAGTAAAATGGTAAAGTGGTATCTTTTGGATATGGTTTAAAAGAAATGTAGTGGAAAAAAAAGAAATGTAATAACAGTATAACCAGGGCCTATGAAAAATTAATCTGTGAGTATCAAAATGTATTTTATTTTACTGGCCACCAAATTGCTGCAATTAAGTTGACACATCTATATTTGTCACACATTGAAATCAACAAGTATGATCTTTAGATTTTTTTTTATTGTCATTGGTTCTTTCAGCCTTGCTGAGAGTATTTTAAATAATCTTTTATGAAATTAAATGTATTTATCAATGAATCACCGATTCCTTTATTCACCTTTATTCACCGTTGATCTTGAACAAAGAGCACATTGAGAAATATTTTATAGTTGATTTAAAAACAATGCGAAAACTATTTTCTAAGTCAGTTAACTCAACATCTATGATCCAAAGGTTATCCTTTCAGAAGGCCCCTAGAACTCTTTATTTCTTATTTCAATATACCATAAATGTTGTGAAAATGAAAGAAGCCTTGTAAGGGAAAAGGCAGCATGATTGTGCTCTAATACAGCCTGACATTAATTATGACAAGGGAAATTAAAGGTCTATTAGTTATAATTATAATTATAGGAATGCAATTTCAACTGCCGAATATTTAAGATAAAAAATGCAAAATATTATGTTAGTAGAGTAGAAATTTTTATTCAGGAGAGGAGAATAAAAATTGGATCAGAAGACAGTGAAGAGATGAGAAATAGATATTTAAGGCCAATTTGGTGAACCAGTCCTGTGGGATCACAATTATATCTTGATACTAAATTCTAAAATATCCAATACATCTATCATCCTGCTTTCCTTCTCTCCTTATCTTCTTTTCTAGCCTAATAGTTTAGCACAAAGAAGTACAATTTTGTTTTTTTTATTTTTTGTTGTTGGTTGGTTTTCTAAAATTCAATGTGATATTTTTTTCTTTCTTGCCCTTATGGCCAAGTGACCAAATAAAAAGGGTTAAATATGTGTTGAGTGCTTCATTTGGATTGCCTCATGCAGAGTCCCTTATGCAATATCCCATTGTTATAGAGCCATGCTTATTTTCATGCCCATGTATGAAGTTTTGTAAGTTCAGAATACCCAGGGGGGTGAGGCAGATATTTTAGATGTTTATAGCAATATATTTTATTAGAGTTGTATATGTTTGTTGTTTGGTATTTTGCTTTATTTTGTTTCATTTCATTTTATTTTATTTTTTGATATCTTATGGTAGCATTGTTTTAGGGCATATGAAAGTAAAGTTTGACTTAGGAGAATATTGACACATAATTTTTGCATGCTTTGGTGGGGTAATTTTACTCTCTGGAATTTATCCTAAAATATACTGAGAGGTGCACAGTGAATGTTTGAGATAGACAGATAGCAAAATGTTATGAATGTATCATAGGTAAATGGTGAAATAAATTATGGCTTCCTGTAAAAGAAATATTATGCAGCCATTAGAAGTCAGGTTTTTGAAAAATATTTAATGAAATGAGACTACTCAGTTAAAAAAAAATTAAAACATGATTCACACAAAATAAGACCCCATACAGAAACACCCTGATGATATATGGATGGTAATATTATAGATGATTTCTGTTGTGTCTGTAAAGGGTTATGTATTTTTAACAATGCTTATGTACTGCTTTCCAAATCAGACAGGATAAGTATGATTTTAAAAAATATTCACCCATTTAGAGTTGAATAAGACAAGTGTCCAAATTAATCACATCAGTCCTGTAAGTAAAAAGAATGCTAAGTGAAGGATAATATTATAGTCTCCTACATCGCAAGCTTAAATGACTTTCTATTAGTTTGTGTCTAGGACTGCCTTAGATGAGGGAGGCAAAATTTATAATGGTAATTGGTGAGGTTCATGTTCATCTTCCCACAGTACTTGCAATCCCAACATTAATACTGTGTTCCTTTGCATTTTGTCGGGTATTAAAAATCTTAATCCTAGGATTTGGTTGCAGGGGTAATATATTAATAAGATGGTTTAAGCCCTTGAGGCCTTTTCTATTTTTCTAATTAGTTTAAAGATGCTTCCTAGCCATGCTGTTGAGTATTGTAGAGGGCTAAAGAACTTTCTGGGGCAGGAGGAAGGTGGCTGAAATAAGAAAATGAAGGAAAGTGTCTCATATCTTGAGCTTAGGTAGAGGAGAAGACAGAGAGCCTGACATCATGTATTTGCCAAAAAAAATGTTTTTGCATTTTTTAATCATGATTTTTTAGGGTCACTCTTACCACTGCAGATGAGGCCTTCTTTCAGTGTGGAAGCAGGTAACACTTATCGGGTGACAAACATTGTTGGTAGTATTTTAAATTGGGAAATTGACACAAATACATGTTTCATGGAATTCTAAATCTTCATACTCATGAAAGCTCCTGAAGCTCACTGAAGTCAAATTCCTTCTCCTCACCCAGGTTTTACAGATAAATAGTTGAGGCTCATGCAAGTTAAGTAACTTACCATCAG